TTTTTTATTTGTTAAAAACGTTTGAAATATCCAATAAATTTCGTTCCACTTCATGATTGTGTCCCACTTGTTGTTGATTCTTCACAAAAAATTACAGTTTTATATCTTTATGTTTGAAGCCTGAAATGTGGCAAAAGGTCGCAAAGTTCAAGGGGGCCGAATACTTTCGCAAGGCACTGTACATCAAACACTTGTTTGCACCGCACTGTTCAAACATTTGTTTGCACTGCACTGACTGTTCAAACACGTATGATCATTTGACAGTAAAACAACACAACACAGTGTACGTCTATCCCTGGATTTGTACAGCTGACAGGCACATTTGCATTTATGTGCTCCCACTTGTACAGAGGAGAAATGTCCTCAGAACAAAAATAAAAACAAAAACTTTCAGGAATGTTTGGAATTCAGCACCATGTCATACATTTTCATACACTCAGATGTTGTTGAAGAGCCCTGCTTTGGATCACAAGTGCCAGAAATAAGCCCAGAGGAGCCAGAGGAGCAAAAAACAAGCATGGAACTGCCAAGAGTTCCTTTTTATATGCTTCAAACTGTAAGTTAAAGATAAGAGTCCATCCTGAAAAGACATGGTAGGTAAATCAGCCACCCAGAGAACAGGTGCATCTGAGATCCAGGCAGCATTCTGACATTATACTGGGGCTGCTGTGGCTCAGGAGGTAAAGCGGCCATCCCCCAACTGAAGATCAATGGTTCAATTCCTGTTCTCTTTAAAAAACACTCAGCACTACGATAAGTGAATTCATAATTCCTACACATGCCGGGGGGCAGATGGAGGCTGACTGAATGGCCATAAGGGTGGCCTGACCTTGAAGAACTGCCAGCAACCCATTAAAAATTCTGAGAGAGACGCAAAGGGGCAAAAGGGAAAGTTTGCACATGGAGGGAACTCATTAACCTTCTCTAAGTGACTTGGTAATTTGTTTGTCCAGATAGAAAGTCAATGGATAACTTCACTGATAAACAACTAAAAACACAAATGTGTATTTTTCTTGATTTCACTGTGCATAAGCTGAAAAGGGAAATAAACTATGCATGAATACAACCAGAAGCAAAAACTCCTGTGTCTGAACCAAACTGACAGAATCAGTCCAACAATGTGAACCAAACCAACTCCAGTCGGTTGAGGGGGAGGAGTGACAGGTGGTCAAAGGGATGAAGAGGCCTGGCTGGTAGGCAGCCTACCACACTGCAAGAAAAACTAGGCCACTTTGCAGCGAGAGAGAGTGTGAGAGAAATGGCAGGAAACAAGGACTCTGGGGAACAGGGAGAGACAAGAGTTGTATAACAAAAAACAAAACAACATTATTTATCACCTTCAGGTAAGACTGGCTCAGATGAATTCTCCTGGGGAAACAGCCCAGAGGAGGTTTACTGTACATAATGAAGACATCGTTCTCCATCTCCTAACTTACTGACAGGACTCAGATATGTTGCAATCCATGCAAGTAGCACCACAACAGTCCACATTTCAAGACAGTTAATTTAGGAGTCCAGACTTTTCTATTTAAATAAAAAAAAGCACAAGTTGGCACCATGCTGGCTCAGCAGGTGGTCATCTGCCCCGAGCTTGCAACACTGGGTCTGATTCAGCTTGTGACATCTCACTTCCATTTCCCTATTCCTTGTTGTTGTCTAGCAGGGGTCTTCAACACATCACTAACAAGCTACCAATAGCTTGCTCCCCGATTCTGAGGAGCTCAGCTAAAGGTTCAGTACACAGTATGTAGCCTACAATGCATGCTTGATAAAAAGGTTGCACAACAGAACTTCGTTCAGTAAACGTGCCCAACCTGCAATCCAATCAAATAAGCAGATGCCCTACCGTTCATTTGCCAATCACCAGACTATAGTCGGTAGTCAAGTATATGAAGATGTATGACAGCATTTTAGTGCCAATCTAAAAGAAATATTAAATAATTTTAAATTTTCATGAAGGTAATAATGCTCAGTTTGTCCTCAAACCATTTAAGAGCCTGTGTGATTGTTTTGGAGGCCACTAGGCCTGCTGCTCTTCAACTGTGAGCCGTTTCTCTTATTTAACCTATCAGATGTAATTGCCAAGATTTACTGCAGCGTCAGTGCATTACACTGCACTGATTTTAGTTTGGTGTGCCTAAAAAAAACTGACAACTGGCTGCAAGCAATAAGCAAGAATACAATTTCATTAACTTTTGATAGCTACAAACGGGAAATATTAAAATACAGTCAGCACAGCATTGCCTAATCTCTGCACACTGTCTTAATGTGAAAGGGTGTTATTTGGCTCAATTATTAATCTACTTCCTGCCACACAGAGAAAAGGCAAGAGAGCCTATTGTCAAAGCAAGCAAAGCAAACAGGAAACATAACTCTGTGTCACACTGAGAGGTCAGAGTTCAAATCAGCCTCACGGACACACAAAAGTCACAATCAAGTTGAGAAAGTTGGGCAGTGGTGTGTGCTAGGTTAGAGCTTTCACCATCTGCTCCAGCCTGCCGAGCCTCACTACAGTCCACAACGCACACTCACAACACCGAAAGCCTGCACGACAAGAACAGAGAGAGAAAATAGGGGATGGAAATGTGAAGGAGGAGCACCGCAAGGACGAGCTGAGGCATGTTGATATGTGCGTACTTCAGACAGGAGTGCACAGTTCACTGCGTGTGTGTTTCTATCAGAGGCGAATAGGGCGGCTTACAAAAAGTGCACTGTTAGTCTGACACTCGCAGCGTGCTGAAAAGCTTAAAAGCCTCCTTTTTATGTCAGCACTTTAAGCTCAGCTAAAACACAGGGACAGAATCACAAATCATTTACACATGAAACAGACGTCTAATAAAGCTTCGTGTTGCCTGAAAAGGTAGGATTAGTGTCTGTAAATCTGACCACTTACATAAACATTAAGCAGGAAGCAGCTCAAAAATAGCATTAAAATCACCATCATAATCTCCACTGGAACCCTAAAGCAATCAAATGATATGCAAACAATATGTACTATAAATTCTTTGCTGTCATTTTCATGTAGTCTTGAATACATGGTATAGTAAAGGTGAGTGTTGTTGACAATTTGATGTCAGATTTTTTTAGACTGACGCCCAAAGCAAAAATTACTTGCACCTCATTTCTATAACAAACAAAACTGTTCAACCACTTTTGACAAAAGAATATAATAATTTTGGCACAAAATATGGGTAATGATAAGTAATGAAACTGTATCAGTATTGGCCTTTATAGCTAGGCCTGTGTATTGTTAAAAAACTAGTACCAATACAATAGCTTATGGTTTCTCTAAAACCATAAGAAAAACCAACCACTCTCACTGACCTATTATGTTAAATAAGACATCTTGCTTTTAAAACTTTTGTCCGCTCTGTTTTGGTGTTAAATGGGACAGAGATGGAAAAACCCCTGCACTGTAGTGTTAGCGTGGGCTGTAACTGGCACAAAGCTTCTGTTCGGAGCCTGACAATGCAAATTCACCCAAGGAAGAAAACAAATTTACAGGGAGTCCTTTGGGAGTACAG